TATATATATATATATATATGTATATATATTATATCACACTAGTATTATCCACGCTGTCTGTGAATTATTCTCCTTTTCGTTTCTTTCTCATAAGATTTTAGAGTTCCGCCCGCAGAACCCTGGAAAATAAATTATTATTATATTTTTGAATTCTTGAAAGATGTCATTCGTTTTTTTTTTTTCTTTTGATGAACTTTTATTTTACAAAAAAAAAAAATAAAAAAAAACTTTAAAAGCTTTCTTCTCAAAAATGGCTTCGCATTAGGTTAAAACATTTTACCATGATAACACCCTAATAATATACTACCAATATATTAAAGCTCTTTAAAATCTATGGGTATCCCAGTTGTAAGGTCCCATTGTAAATAGAAACCTTTCGAATTTATTTATCTCTCATCGGACGGGGGTTAGAGGGGGGTAGGGGACTTGTCTATGTAATATAATTATTATTAAATAAATATATATTTAAGAATTTTGTACCTGTCATTGTTTAGCGGACTTATACCTAGCCAATTTGAGTTGCACCGGATTGGAAACTTTGATGTGAACCGCGATATCCTCAACGGGTGCTTCGCGAACATCCTGTCCGCAAATGGCAACTACTCGATCACCTTTGCAAATTTTTCCACTCTCTAATGCACTACCACCAGGTAACTAAAAAAGAAACGTATTAATTAAACGAAAGAATATACAATTTATATGGAATAATGTTAAAAATAGAATAGAAATTAAAAGAAAAAGAAGAAATGATCATCGCGCCTGCAGATAGGCAACCCTCTATTTCCACGAGTATTACGTCTCTAATCGTATATACGTAAATGTGTAAATGTTGCATACATTCAGGTGTCCTCGATGAAATCGATGAATCGAAATAAAAGTTTATTTTGGATACAAAAAGCGTTACGCGGACTATAATAAAAATGTAAACTATTATTGTATATGTGCTCCCAATATTTTCCTCTTTTTTCTTTCTTTTTTTTTTTTTTTTATGGATTTGTGAATCCCAACAAGGTACATACAAGTTTATAAGTAGATTAATGCGTCAAACCCAGAAGAGTAAAATATGTAAGCAAACGCGAATGAGATATCGATTCAATGTTTGCGTTCTTTTTTTAGTAACATGACACATCGTTCTATACTAAAATTATATCATTATCATCATCATCATCATCATCATCATCATAGTCATTTAAAAAGAAATCTATCTTTTTTAGAATAAATATTTTTCTTATATATCGTACCAGATCCGAGACGTAAGCACCCTTGCCACTTTTAAATCCGGTCAAACAAAGTCCAGCTCCTTTTCCTGATTTTTTTTGCAATTCAACCTCGAGTTCTTCTGGTGGTTTATCGCTTCTATGTACCACCATGACTATCTATGGTTAGAGAAAAAAAACATTATTTAATCTCAGTTCTTGTTTGAATATAATCACCTAATAATATTATTATATATATAATAAATCATTTTTGTTTTACTTACTGTTCCCGTAACTTTCATTACTGCTGCATGAGCTTGTTCATGTTCGATGGCTTTGAAACTTTCTTGGCATATATCAAGAATTTGATCCCCGGCTTGCAATCTGCCATCTTTTCCAGCTGTCCCATCCGGAAATACTTCGAGAATAAATACGCCACCCTAGATAATGAAACAACAACAACAACAACAATGAAAAAATACAAAATACAAAATTAATATAAATAATTAAAATGAGTATTAATAACCTATGTTATTTATTTCGAAATTATATTCCATTCTATATATATGTAGTATATAATTTTTAATTAATTATTAAAATGTATTTTCATATAATAATAATAATCATTAATTTGATATAAAACTTATTTATTATAATTAATAAGATAAACTTACCATAGGTGTATCGGTACCACCGGCTATAGTGAAACCAATTCCCTTGTCCTTTTCCTTTTGAAATTCTATCGTAGTGTCCTTACCAATTTGAATTTTACAATCCTTCGGATCCTGAGGTGGTTCTGGTTCTTTCGGTTTTTCCGGTTCTTTCTTTTCCACTGATATATATAAAAAAAAAAAAAAATAGACAAATACAAAATGATATAATCGTCAAATGAACGTTCATAAATAATTGGATTGATTTTGAAATGTCAAATTCTACCTGGTTTAACTTCTGCCTCGGCTGGTTTTATTTCTTTACCATCCTGGCCAATTTTACTTTGATTTGGATTACAAACGGTCAACTTGACTACGCCCTCGGCCTTCTTCAAGAGACTCGTAGCCTAAAATTATTTCTCCCTGTTACGTTCGATAAACGAAATCGATCCGATCCACGTGTATTTTTAGAATCTAAGTTATGTATATAAAGAGATGCGGGGATGAAGGGAGGTTTTGTTGAAAGGAGAGAAAGATAGATAGATAGATAGAGAAAGAAATAAAGAAAGACAGAAAAAGGAAATCAAATTCTAAAACATACCAACCTCGTCATACGTAGAACCGAGTAGACAATCCATGTTAACGGCAAGAATCAAATCACCTACTTGCAAACCGGCCTAATAACAAATTTATTCAAATGATTTATTTCATTTTATTTACGTATCAATATTAATAATTATACACAGGGTGGTGATAGGGTACCTTCATTCTATATAATTCATAGGATTATTTAAAAATTGTTAGGTTTTAAGGGTGTGTAATGTATCTAATATATATATATTATATTATACAATATTTCTTTAAATATTAGTATTATTATTTTCAACAATTTTCTTACATTTGCGTTGAAATATTAATTTTTATTGTAAAAAGAAGAATATAAGAACATTATTATGATTATTATAAATTGATTAGAGAACGTTATCTATAAAATAATTGTTACAATTGTTCTTACATTCTTACCTATCGAAGATTTATTTAATAATATACTTGTAAGTATATCACCACCCGGTATATAAATCGTCCTAAATTTTGTTCCTTTCTGTAAAAACAATATTCTTCCTTTTTTTTCTTTTACCTGTTCAGCAGCACTGCCTTCTTGTATGTCAGAGACGAAAATTCCTTGGCCAACTTCAGCGTGCTTACCCTCGATGATCATTATGCCAAGACCGTATTGTCCCTGAACGAACGAACGAATGAAAGAAAGGAAACCATTAGTTGGTGAAAAAAAGAAAAAAAAGAAAATTAAAAAATACAAATAAAAATCTATCTGAAAACTGACCTTTTTTACTGGAACAACACGGACTCCTTTGTATCCGCTAAATTGCTCGCTCTAAAAAAAGAAATAAGGACATTTCTTCGGTTTTTTTCTTTTTTAATAAATAAATAAAAAAGAGGATACTATAATGCGATTAAGATTGGTAAACGAATTTGTGATGTTTTTGAATTTAATGTAACATCGATCGCAAAACATAATTTTAATCATTTGAAACAGAAATGGGATACAAAATATAAACTGAAATTTTGATTGATTTTGGCAATAAAGTAGGAAGAAACCTTTTAACGGAATCAACAATATTATAGCACGTGTATGAGTGTCTGTCTGTGTGTGTGTGGGTGTGGATGGGTGGGTGGATGGGTGAGTGTATATAATTTAAATATATCAAATAGGATTTGTATACCTCATCCAAGATTGGTGGAAATGAAATCAATGGTTTCACTGCGATATCATCAGCACCTTGTGTTTTCCTATTAATTAACATTAATTACATTCATTTTATAATATTATTATATAAACGTTAATTTATATGTTTTATATTAATAATATACACGTGTAAAGTATATAAATTCATAAAAAAATAGAAAGATGACGATAATGATCATGCATTATTTATTAATTAAATGTCAAACATATAAATTAAAATCAAATAATTATAATATAATTCATATATATATATGAAAATAAAATAGAAATGATTTTTTATTTCAGTATAATAATCGAAATGAAATAAAAATGATGATTATTATTTCTTACTTACCGATGAACGATGATTTTAAAACATGTACCAGCCATACACTTTATCAAGGCCGATGCGTTCAAATGACATCTTCCTTTGAATACCATACCATTCACCTAAATAAAAAATTATATTATGTAATTTACAAAAAAAAAAAAAAAATAATGTCACACTCGAATAATCTACTTCCAAATATATTTCATTCGATATATAAGTAAAAATCCAAATATTATTTTCTTTTTGTTTATTCTTATTCGCGGAAAGTATTTAATTTCTACGATAAAAGAAAAAGAAAAAGAAATGGAGATGAGATAGGTCGTAAAAATTGTTGTAAAATTGTACCTCGAGTATTTCGTCACCAACGGCAAGCCCACCAACTTTATGTGCGGCACCATTTGGATTGATTCCACAAATGAAAACAGCCATTCGATTTCTATCCTTGTGTCCGGCAAGAGATATACCTAAACTACCGCGTTCCTTTTCTACTTTAACCATTAACACCTTGTGACCCAGATTATGATATTTCTTTTGTATTTTCACTGAAAAAAAAAAAAAAAAAACAGAAAGAAACAAAAAAATAAATGTAATGATTAAACGATGATATCTTAAATAAAATGTAGCAGTAGTATTTAATTAGATTATACCAATTAGAATTAGGTAAAAAAAAAAAAATTAATTAAGTTTTATTATTCATATATTACATTTCTATATGTGATTTTTCATTTAAAACAAATATATTATATTTGAAATTATATTTAAATATTAGAATAAGAAAGAAAAACACAAAAGGGAATATTTACTGTTAGTGTATCCATATTCGTCTTCTTGTTCAGGATCAGCATCTATCTCAGCTTTCGTTCTTTTCACGTTAGCAGCACTCTTCCTGGATATCTAAAACAAAGATAACGAATAAAAATATATATACATATTATAATAATTAATGAAAAAAAAAAACTGGAAGGACAATCAATTAAAAAGGAATATTTATTTCGTTATAATTAATTTAAAAAAAACAATTGGCATGCGATTGGGGTACGCGAAGATATTAATATCGAAAAAAAAAAGAAAAAATAGAATAATAAATAATTAATATTAATAATGAAATCTCTTTTATATATACCTCCATTCCCCCCTTCGTATAAACGTTACCCTCCAATTCGCGTATGTCCTCTTCCTCGGAACTTTCCTCCGATGAATATTTCTTCGTAAGAGGTTTTTGCACCTGTTGAGGAGCAGGAGGAACATGATCCTCACGTTCTTCGCTAACTTCCCGAAGTATTCCAGGATTCGATGGCGGCGACGGCGCCTTTTTACGTATCGATTTTTTCATGGAGGATCTAAAGGAAACAAACACGTTCGTTTGTTCGATCGAAAATCGTTGTTCAACAATTCAACAACGAATATTATTTTATTTTTCGTTCGAATACGATTACTATTTTTTGTATTCGTTTATTATTATTTCCTAGATTTTATATTCATTTTAAAGAAAATTTTGTCGTACATTTTATGTGCAAAAATAAAAAATATATAAGAAATTAGTTAATTATTCGTTTGCTTATATACTATATGCGTTATATTGTATCTCTTTGATTGTTAATATTTTATATATGATTATTATATATCATATATGTCAATTTTTGTTTGGAAAATTATTCAAAATTATAAACGATATTCGAATTATTTGATAGCAATAATAAATACAACGAGTTGTCGTTAATTATTTGTTATCTCTTCTTCTAAGTTTAAATAATCTTGTAAATGCGTTATTTATTATATTTTATATATAAATAATTAACAGAAAAATTGTAATAAAATAATGTACCTTCTTGCGCTAGGACCAGCGCCATCTGTGCTTCTTATACTTTGCCTTTTAAAATCTCTCGATGGGGTCTTCTCACTTTCTTCAATTCCACTCTAAATCAATAAAAATAAATCATAAAAAGATTCATTAACATATTATCGCTCGCTCTAATTAATATTCCATAAAATTTTCTAACTCGTCATATAATAGAATATATTATTAATAATTGTAATCCTAACCTATCTTTTCGTTTCTTTCAAAACAAACATGGCGGTACACTATCTTCAAAATAAATCATTTCAAATTTCTCGATTATATTAGATTTCACATAACGTTAAAAAATAAAATTCAATGAAATTGTTTCTAACAAACCTGAATTACTTCCGGCGTGATTGATCTAGCAGGTGAAATCGGTGAAGGTTTTTGTCGAAATGATGCTGTGGGTGTACCTGGAGCTACCCCAGAAACTGGCAACCGATTTTTACTTTTTCCATCTTGAGAATTACTTTCGTTCTCGGTAGTCTGCGCGAATAAAACAGAAACAAATAACAATACTAGAATTCAATGTACGATTAATAAACAATTATTACAACAAACGCAACAATAATAACAACAACAACAACAACAATAACATCACATTCAAAATCGAATTAAATATCAATCACAAACGAAGATGCAATGGAAATTTTTCAATATCACTCATTCATAATTTAAATCATCACATTTATATATTTATAAATATATTACATATATATATCATATATAATATATTTATATGTATAAATATATTAAATAATATTATATCGATTGATTTATACAATCGTTTGGATGAACGTCACCTTACGAGATTATTTCTCACTGTTTTATTTTATCATTTTTCATTTCCTATTTTTATTTATTAATTAACTTCTGTTTTCGCAATAACAAAAACGATGTCGTAGTTAGTGTATAATTAACAATGTAATTTTAACATCGAAGGAATAACAAAAATAGAACAAAAAATTAAAATAAAAGAGAAAGAAGAAGAAGAAGAAGAAAGAGGAGAAAAATAAATCATCGATATCTTTTCATTCGTCATAAAAGATCATCGATCAATAATAATAATAATCTTTCCCTCTCTCTCTCTATCTATCTATCTCTTTCTAATTTTCTTCACAATATCACAATGATGTCACAAATCTAATTTAAACATTGAGAAAAGAAAATAAATAAAAGGAAGAGAATGTAATAAATTTTCACATTCATCGAACTGAATAAAGATGATCGATAAATAATAATCATTTCTCTTCCTTTTCACAAAGTATCACAATGATGTATAAAAGTGTAATTAATAGTGTAATTAACAGTGTATTTAACATCGAAGAAAAATTAAATAACAAAAAAGAAATGAAAGTAGGTGAAAAGATGGATAAACAAAATGTTTTATGTTTCTTCATTCGTGAAATTAAAGGAAGGATCATCGATCAATAACTCTCTCTCTCTCTCACACACTCTTCATATAATATCACAATGTAATTTCACAGACACACAGTGTAATTAACAATTTAAATAAAATAACACATACAAAATATAATATTAATAAAATTCAAGTGGAATATATAATAACTAAAAAGAACAAAAAAATTGTGTGGTTTACCCCAAACGGAAGAAAGATCATCATTGGTCGATCAAAATCTCACCCCCTTTATTTCATTTACTTCACTATAATTATCACCAACTATGTCACAGTGCATAATTAACAGTGCTATTAGAATATTTAAAAAAAAGTAATCAAGAAAGTAGAATATAGGAGAAGGATTTCATTAATTAAAATGTGAACAAAATAATGATCATCTATCAATAATAATCATAATAATCTTGCCCCCGTTATTTCATTTACTTCACGATAATGTTCACCAACTATGTCACAGTGCATAATTAATAGTGCGATTAGGGTAAATAAAAATAAAAAATAAAAAAAAGGATCATCTATGAATAATAATTTTTCTTTTCCTCTCTCTCTCTCTCTCTCTTTCTCTCTTTCTCTCTCTGTCAGTCAGTTTGTCTGTTCCTTTAATCTCACATACACCAAAGGTGACGCATTTCCGTCCAAAGAGTCGATGCATCGTGAGAGATCCTCGATAAAAGGAACTGGCAGCTCGGTCGCCGGCAGCTGTGGTTTCGTCGACGAAACTGAAAGCGTCGATCGAGTAAAAGGGGGATGATGATCGAGGGTGGTCGATGCCAACTAACCCAACCCCCTCCCCCTTTAGCCCCTTTACTCTCGAACCACCTGTCCCGATGATGGCCGATCCGGTCTCGTTGCAACGATGTCATCCACATACGTATACACATACACACGTATATATGTATATATATTTTTCTATATTTCTATTTATATATAGGGTGATTCACGATAAAGATAAAACACGAATATTATTTACCTTTCGTTCGCAATTCGAATGAAGTTCAATTCGATTCGTTGAATTTTTTTTTTATACAAAATGATCGTTTACACGTGTTGTCAAAAGGTAATACAACGAGAAATAGAAAATATTATTAATGAATTATTTTGAAAAAGTTTAAAGATATATTATTTTGAAGAATCTTGAACATTTCAAGACATACAATATATATATATAGAGCATTTACATTTGGAATAGGTATATATTTTTATCGTATGTATTTTAATTATATTTAAATGTAAACAATGGAAATATTCAAGTGTTAACTTTATCGCGAGAATCACCCTATATATTTATATATATATATATATATATATAGTACTATATCTTTCTCTTTCTAAACGGCCTTTGTTCTTATTTTTCTATCGTCAGATATTTGAACCTTTTCA